TTTTTATGACTTTTTACAGTTGGCATTAAAGCATGCTGATTCTGTGAAGGCTTTGTTTGGCCTGGCCTGTCTTCCTTGTGTAGACTTTACTTCCCTGGGTTATCTGTCTCCCAGATGTTTCTTAATAGAAGGGATCTGGGTTTTCTCTGTCTCCTTCTAATCTTGTTTGTTGATTGACTGATGGTGGTGGTGGGTGGGGGGGACTGACTGTGGGCCAGGCTTTACATGTATTAACCCATTTAACCTTCACAACAGTCTTATGCGATAGATTCTGTTCTGATCTTTATTTGACCTATGAGGAAACTGAAGCACTGAGAGGTTAAGTGTCCTACCCAGTGAGGCAGAGCAGGGTGGTGAACCCAGACAGTCTGGCCCCAGAGTGCACACTTGTGCTCTGCACTGGACTGCCAAGTGTGCTCGGAAAGTTGTTATTACAAGAAGTGTATGATCCTTTTAACGATGTTTATTTAAATTTAGAATGTGTATTAACTTGGTTACATAGTATTGGCAGTTCTTTATTATAAATGTATTAATTACTTGTTAAATCCTTTCACGAGGTTATTAAATATCATTCATACAGTTTTATAGAGCTGCTAAATTTTACTTGGAACCTTCTAACAAACCAGTGATACAAGCAGAATTAGAAGTAGCTTTCCCCAAGTTGTAGTTACTAGGGAAAAGGATGCTTCCCACTAGGGCTTCAGTACCGGCAGGCCCTTGCTTATGAACAGGCTTACACTCCGAAGTTCATTTAAGGTGACTGTCTGGAACTTTATTTCTATGGGATAATACATTACATTAACCTGGCATTTGAGCTCTTAGGGCAGGCTGCAGTTAAACGTTCTGATTTGCAAATGCAGTGAATTCTAGTATCAGGACTAAAGGAGTGGAGTGATCTTTGTTCACTAACATTCACCCTAACTCGTGTTGTGTGTGGAGCACTATGAAGTCACACCTATGTTAAATTTGGAATTCTTACTGAGGCGTAGGGAGCAGGACCACTTTTGGGTGCAGCAGACCTAGGAGTTCCTACCTGTCCTTCTTTCCCCACTGCCCTCTGGCTGACCACCTGAGTGCAGGACTTCTTTGGCCCTATACCTCAGTGATGGGCCTTTTGGCTGGGGATGGGCAAGGGTAAGGAGCTCTCAGAATTAAGGAATTCTGGAGGCAAAGGTTTCCTAGTCACGCTCTTTTTTTCTGGCACTCCCAGATGATGCCTGCTTGCTTCTCTTTCCACTGTTCCTTTGCTTTTGTCTTACTTTGTGTGAGTGAGAAATAGAACTCACAATGGAAACGTATTAAAATTTAGTTCACTCTATCCAATACTTGGCAAACAAGCATATAACTCCCTTTCTAGCCCAAGAAATGGAACGTTAACAGACTTCAGAAGCTCCCAGTATATTGTTTCCCTAGCACAGCTCCCTTCTTGCCCCCTACTGGTAATCACTGCTTTTCCTTTTATGGAGATATTTGTTTTTTTCTTACAGTTCTCTCACCTAATGATATATCCCCAAAGTTTAACCATTTTTAAAACTTGAGTCACACTAATTGTGTTCATTTGTAGTTTGCTGCTTTTGCTCAAGCACATTTTTAAGATTCACCCATACTACGATAACTAGATGCTGTTCCTTTTTGTTGCTTATAGCATTCCGTTGTATTAGCCAGCAAGGTATGCCATGACAAAATACCCTGGACTGGGTGGCTTAAACAGCAAGTTTATTTTCTCAGTCTAGAAATCCAAGATCAAGCAAGGTGTTACTTTATTGTGGTTCCTCTTGCCTTGGCTTATAGATGGCCATTTTCTTCCAGTGTCTTCATGTGGTCTTCCTCTGTGTGTGTGTTTGTGTGTGTGTGTGTGTCCTAATTTTCTCTTCCTATAAAGATGCCAGTCAGACTGGATTAGGGCCCACCCATATGACCTCGTTTTACTTTAATCACCGCTTTAAAGGCCCTGTCTCCAAATACAGTCACATTCTGAAGCACTGAAGGTTAGGGCTTCAACATAATACTTTTAGTAGGAGGGACACAATTCAGCCTGTAATATCCATTATGTGATTATACCATGATTATCCATTATATTACTTGGTGGACATTTTGATTCTTTCCAATTTTAGTCAATTATGAATAGCGCTGCTATGAATATTTGTATACTTGTATAATGGTGAAAATGTCTAAGCTTCCTTAGGTTGAGATGCAACATTCCATCCTTGCAGTGAGTTGTGGGTCAGGCTGCAAAGCCAGAACAATAGTAGATAAATCCAGTCTGTCTTCCCAAGTGGTTGTTTCACTTTGGGCTCCTACCCACAGGTGCGAATTACTGCTGGTTCATATTTTTCCAAAGCCTGGTATTTTCCAAAACCTCAGAGTCTTTCATTTATACCAGCCTCTTCGTGTGCAGTGCTATCTCACTGTGGTTTAATTTTTATTCTCTTCATTATTAAATACAGTGAAGCCTTGGTTTGCGGCCTTAATTCATCCTGGAAACCTGCTTATAATCCAAAGCATTTGTATATCAAAGCGAATTTCAAGAACCACTGACTCAGTTGTGATCATGTGACATTTGGCGTCACGTACTGCTCGTATTGCAAGACATTGCTCATTTATCAAGTCAAAATTTATTAGAAATGTTTGCTCATCTTGCAGAGCACTCACAGAACAAGTTACTTGCCATCCAAGGTTTTAACTATAATTTGAATATATTTTCCTTTATTTATTAGCCATTTGGATTTTGTTGTTATATATCTGTTCAAACCTTTTGCCCATTTTTCTTAATTAGGTGGTCTGAGCTTTTATTTATTTTTGTAGGAGTTCTTTAAATATTCTGGATATAAGTACCTTGTTACTTATATACGTTGTAAATATCTTCTTAAACTCTGTAGCCTGTGTGTTTTCACTCTATTTAGAGTCTTTTGATGAATTAAGAGTTACTCATTTTAATGTGGTCAGCTTATCAATCTTTTCCTTTGTGGTTAACTTTTCGAATATGTGTACCTTAAGAATATTCAATCTGAAATCATTAAGATGTTTCCTGTTTGATCTCTAAAATGCTCATAATTTTGCATTTTACGTTTAGAGGAGTAACATATCTAGCACGGATTTTTACATATGGTGTGAGGTAGGACCCAATTACATTTCTCCCCCCAGTGAATAGCAGTTCTAGGATCCTTTCTCCCACTGCTTGAACCACCTATGTGATAAATCAGGTATCCACAATATACGCTTTGCTCTGCTTCTGGGCTCCCTATTCTGTATCATTGCTCTATTTACCTGAATCCCATTGCTTTGTAGTAAGTCTTAAATTCTCCCATCTTATGGTCTTTCCAGAGTGTCTTAGTTGTTCCTGTTTCTTTCCATTGCCATAAACATTTCAGTATCTGCCTGTTCAGATCCATGAACAGACCTGTTGTCTTTACGGGAATGCTTTTACTCTATAGGATCATTTGGAGGAATTTGTCAATGTATGAAATACAGAACAAATGTTGAGAAACTGTCTTAAAGACGATTAAAGAGATAAGACTATAGAGATAACTAAATGCAATGTATGATGGGTTTTAAGAAAGTTGTTAAGGCCTGGGGGAACAGGGACATTTTCATCTAGATTGTGTGTCTAGAAGCAAAATGGGTGTTCATTGGTAGCTTTTAACCTGTAGATTTAAAATACATCTAAACTCTTCAAAATAAAAGTTGGAGGGGCACCTGGGTGGCTTAGTCAGTTAAGTGTCTGACTTCGGCTCAGGTCATGATCTCACGGTTCGTGGGTTCAAGCCCCATGTCGGCTCTGGGCTGACAGTTCAGAGCCTGGAGCCTGCTTCGGATTCTGTGTCTCCTTCTCTCTCTGCCCCTCCTCCACTTGTGCTCTATCTCTCTCAAATAAATAAATGTAAAAAACAAACAAACAAACAAATAAAACAAAAGTTGGAGAAAATTAAATTTCATTTGATATATCAAGAAATATTAAGGGCTCCTGGGTGTCTCAGTCGGTTAAGCTTCCAACTTCGGCTCAAGTCATGATCTAGCGGTTCGTGAGTTCGAGCCCCAAGTCAGGCTCTGTGCCGACAGCTCAGAGCCTGGAGCCTGTATCAGATACTGTGTCTCCCTCTCTCTCTCACCCTCCCCTGCTCATGCTATTTCTCTCTCAGAAATAAATAAAACAAAAAAAAAAAATAGTAGAAAGCCAGATCCAACCTAAGTTTGCATTATCTTAGTGTGCTGTATTAATTAGCAAATTTGCCACTAAAACTGATGGTAAAAGAGCAAGCATGATGGGTTATTTAAATAATTCTGTAGTTTGTTTGAGCTTATACAGTACACATTCTCATCCTACTGGAACAGTAAGTGTCTGTGGGCTAGCTCTCCAAGTAAAACACACATTAGTGTATTTTTTTGTGACAATTGCTGATTTCCTCTATCATAGTAAATCTTTTCTATATCATACTAAAAGGTGAGTAAAGTGATTTAAAGGAGTTAGAGTCCATGCAATCTAGTTTTATAAAACTAGGCTAAATGTTGTTTTACTAAAAGAATGTCTGGCACTTGAATATTAATGATTTTATTTTTCATAAGGGATCACAGACCCTTTGTTTTCAAATCTGTATTTCACAATCTTCTTACCAACTTTTATATATATATATCTAAATATAGATATATCTATAGATATATATATCTATATATCTATAGATATATCTATTTCTACACACACACACATACACATATCTTAAGAATATTCACTCTGAAGTCATTAAGTTATTTCCTGTATTTCACAATCTGTATTTAAAACTCTGAGTTTTGTTTCAGTTTTTAGTTATTGCAGCCAAGGCACATAGGAAGTTAAATAATTCTGAGTCATGAAATGAGTTGGTAATACTAGGTGGACTCAAGTTATTGACTCCTCTTTGTACTAGTCTCTTTCTTTTCCTAAATATTAATATATGATTTTTCATCAAAATGATTTGTAAAGTAAAACATCTAACAGTAACAACAACAACAAAATCTTTTTACAGCAAAAGGAAGAACTGAGCTTCTGAAGATCAATCTTCGTGAGGTTGAACTGGACCCTGACATTCAGCTGGAAGATATAGCAGAGAAGATTGAGGGTTATTCCGGTGCTGATATAACTAATGTTTGCAGGTATTTTTTTTTTCTAATGATCTGTGACCTTAGATATTAGGTATAGATTTGGCATGAGGACTGGTCTTAAATTCAGTATAGCCTTTAAAACCTTTGACATGAAAGCAGCAATCCATTTTCTTGAAATGATTTTTCATTTGTCTTTTTTTTTTTACGTACCTTCATTGGTCATTGTTAGATGAATAAATATATAACAATATGGTCACCTTTCCTATCCTCTGATTTTTAAGAAGTTGTTACTTAGGGGCGCCTAGGTGGCTCAGTTGGTTAAGCATCTGACTTTGGCTTAGGTCATGATCTCATGGTTTGTGAGTTTAAGCCTGTCGTCAGGCTCTGTGCTGATGGCTCAGAGCCTGGAGCCTGCTTCAGATTCTGTGTCTCCCTGTCTCTGTCCCTTCCATGCTCATGCTCTGTCTCTCTCTATCTGTCAATAATAAATATACGTTAAAAAAGTAAAATGAAATGAAATAAAATAAAATGAAATAAAATAAAAAAGAAATTTTTGTACTTGGTAATAATGACTTTAACAAGCTAAGGTCAGTTTAGCCCTAACTTGGAGCCTAGCTGCATCAGCATAAAATAATATTTAGTTTTGGTTGGCATTGTTTCGCCACATGCAGAAGAGCAAGCAAAGTTGACCAATTTAAGCTGGGAAATATATAATATATACTTATATATTTAGTAACATCATAATTTAGTGACATCATAATTTGTAGATAATTCACACCAATCAATTTAGCTGGGAAATATATACTTACATAACATAATATAAGTATGTATTATATATTTCCCTTTCAATTTAGTGATATAATAATTTGTGGACAATTCACATCACTCAATGAAGAGGATTTTCTTTTATTTATTTATTTTGGTGGGGGGGGAGTGCAAGTGGGGGAGGAACAGAGAGAGGGAGACAGAGGATCTGAAGTGGGGTCCGTGCTGACAGGCTGACAGCAGCGAGCCCGATGCGGGGCTGGAACCCACGGACTGTGAACTGAAGCCAGACGCTCAATTGACTGAGCCACCCAGGGGTCCCAAGAGGATTTTCCTTTTTAGTTGATACCTTCTTAACTGTACTTAAATTGACATCAGTAGCTTTTCTTCAAAGCTATACCATCTGTTGTTCCTCACTCTTTGTACTAGTATTTTTCATGTGCATCTAAGTTTAGTGGCACATAATAAGCTTAAGGCAGTTTCTAGTATCACTATAGTAAAACATAAAATTTTGAAATTTTGGTTGGGTTGGCTTCCTATTAGCTCTTTTGGTGAGCATTAGTTGTGTACTTCTTCCAAACCTTCATAATAATTTGCAGCAGATCAGAGTGGAGCTAAAGATAGGATCTGGTGGCGCTAGATTTTATCCCTTCAGTAGCCCAGCAGGGTGCCATGTGGAGACTTCCACACCCACTGTGTGTAGATACGTTCACGTTACAGAGAAAGAGATTCCTGGCTTCACCTTCTCTAATCAGGTTGCAGACAAACTGGTGGAAGATTTGAATTATGTTCACATCAGCCATGTGTTCATTTTCAAGTGTACAGTTCAGCAGTTCACAATTCAGCGTCTGTTTCCTAACTTTCTTGGCTGTCTTTGAAGAGCAAGTGTGGAAAAGAAAATGTGGTACTATCTGAGCCTAACCTAGACTTTTCGGATTCATCAATAGTACGTTTTATGTTAAAACCTCTCTTGCACCCTCAGGGAGCTCTAAAATGGGAAATTGTGAGCAGCAGCGTGAAAACATAGAAAATGATCTTTTGAATGTTTTGTGTTAACTTTCTTACAGTTGAAAGTGTTAAAAACGTTTACGTCAGTATGTATTCACTGATCTTGTATGTTTTTAGGGACGCCTCTTTAATGGCAATGAGACGGCGAATCAATGGCTTAGGTCCAGAAGAGATCCGTGCACTTTCTAAAGAGGAACTCCAGATGCCTGTTACCAAAGGAGACTTTGAATTGGCTCTTAAGAAAATTGCTAAGTCTGTCTCTGCTGCAGACTTGGAGAAGTATGAAAAATGGATGGTTGAATTCGGATCTGCCTGAATTTCTGTCAGCGCTTTCATTTCTGGTATTTTTACTTATAAAATGTGAAGAAATTCCCTGCAGTTTTTTTAAAAACAGGTTTAGAACTTTTCATTGGAGAGATTTTTCCCTTAAAGGGAAAAAACCCCAAACCGCCAAGAGTGTAGCTATAGTTGAGAAGGAAGGAAAGCTCACATAGAGAGTCTGATGGTCTCCACCACCTGGCCGGGTGCTGCCGGTCCACGTGTTCACGCATGGGTGGCGCGTGTCCAGCCAAGGTGTCATGGAGTCCGAAGCAAGCGCCCGGCGTGCTCTTGTAGAAACTTGTTTACAGAAGGTTTAGAAGGACATCTTTTTCTCACTTGCGTCTGTTGGGTTTTTTTGTTATTTTCTAATCTTTGCTCTGAACATGAGGGACCTAGCCACGTCAACTTTTAACACCAACACTGCGTTTGTGTCAAATTCATTGTTTGTTGTTAAAAATGAGGGTTTTGAATTAAATAATGAATTTGTTAGCTAAACCTTTAGCACTCACCTCTTACTGTTGCCGTCTATCGTACAGTTAGTTGCATTTTTACGCTCTCTCACCCACCATTTCTTCTATTAGCCATCTAATCATTTCTTCAGCTTCACCATAACCTCCTGCCCTGGGGTCTTGGAAACGTTTTGTCTGGTGGTGTCTCTGGTCTTTAATATTTTTTGCTGGTACCTAACACTTCATGTTGGAAGGGTGGGAAGGATGTTATGATTGCATCAGATGCATTTCTTCATTCTAGACTTCTGGGTTTGTTTTTGCTTTTCTTTCACTATATTCAAACAGGTAACACCTTTATTTTCCTCGGCTCTAGCAATGTTTGATTTTTGCTGAACTTGAATTTGATATCCTAAATAAATACGTGGGTATTCTAAACAAGTTCACTGTCTTGTGGCTAGGGCAAAACAAACAAAACAAAATCTTTATAATCGTCCAGGTTGCTTGTTTAGCAAGATAACATTGTACATGATGAATGATGTTCATTTGAAAATTTTAGAATTATTCCTTGTCTAGCTTGAGAACTTGTACACTGCAGTAAGATTAGGATAGAAATCTGACATGCACACGTCACAGGAAAAAGCCCAGAAAAAATAGATGTATCTAATCACAAGTAGAATATCCTGGTGTTAGTTTTTTTAAATTACATTTATCCCATTTTGGTTGGGCAGCCTATGCTTGAATGGTGATGCCTTTTAAAACTTGTAGAACTTTTTAGATACTTAACAAACAAACAAACAAACACTTCTTAGTATTTCTTACTTTAAGAGATTTTTTTTCCCCTACTAAGAATTACACGATTTTCAGATAACTTAAGTCTGATTCTAAACTCCAGTATTGCATATAATGCTATAAATTATCCCCTGCTTCTCTGAGGCATAGATTATTAGAGTTAAAATCCTAAGGCATCATGATTTTATTTTAACTCTTTTTTATTTAATTCATTTACAGAATTGAAATAAGTTTTTTTTATTCATGAACTTTTTAAATACACAAGTAGATGATCCCACTAGATACTCTTACAGACAGTTGGCATCTAGTAACATATTTTTCCCCTGAGGTCCTAGGGGCAGTCATTAAAACATTTGTGTTTTGATTGCTGAAACTTCTATTTCAGTTGACTAGTTAGACCCTTTCTCTAGGTTTTGTGTCATTTGTGTTGGTATGTCTTTCTTCTTCTCTTTTAAAATTCTTCATGGATAATAGCATGGTGATTGTGATTTTTAAAAAATAATCAGTCAAGTAGTATTTAGACACTCAAGATTCCCGGAAGCTTCTCTTTGCTTTGTTGAGAGTCAGCTGTGCTTTTTTATTTCCCTCATGTCTCAGTTTGCTCTGTCAGTGGATGGCAAATGCTTTGTATTTCTTTCTTTCTTTCTTTCTTTTTTAAAAATGTTTGTTGTTTATTTTTGAGAGTGAGTGAGAGGGGGGCTGAGGATCTGAAGCAGACTCTGCACTGCCAGCAGACAGCCCGATGCGGGGCTCAAACTCATGAATCATGAGATCATGGCCTGAGACAAAGTTGGACGCTCAACCCGACTCAGCCACCCAGGGGCCGCTATGCTTTGTATTTCTTAAGCCCCTTATAGCTTCCTCAGGTCTTCTATCTAGCCTTTACTGTACAATGTACGTACATTGTCTTTATTACAAGACAGTGCGTTGCCTTACCCAGAATGAGAAAATTGTTCTCTTTTGCTGTTTTTCTATGTTGCATTATCAAATTAGAAAGAGTTCTTTCCTTTACTTCATCCAAAAACATGAGTAGTTTGGGCTCTGCAACAAAATGATGTTAGGACTGAGTTTTGTGCAATTCTGTCCTGCAGAGGCCTGATCAGATAGACCCTTTGTTCCGCCACCTTGCACTGGTTGCTTACCGTGTCCGAGGCCCTCGGCGGGGAGCCGTGTGGCTCACAGAGCCGGGCCAGACTGCTGTGTCGTACTGACGGGGCCCTTTCTCTAATTACACTGTGTGGCTTCTGGCTGCCGCTAATGAGATGAGTTCCCTTATAAAAGGAGAGGTGCGGTAGTCTGTGTGCGCTTTAGAAAGGTCATATATACAGGTGTTTCTCTTTTTCTCCTTTAAATATGTTTTAAGATAAGAAATTTGTTTGAATAATGTTACGATTATCAATCTGGCTGTTTTCATGGACCATTTCCTAAAGTTCATGTTCATTATAAATGTGTACACGTCATTGTAGTACACGTGTAATTATAAACGCATATGCACATTACGTGTTTCTGGTAAACATTTTGCTCTCAAAATCACTTTATTTAAAAAATAATTAAAGGAAATTTGTGTTGATGAAATGCACCAGCTAAATGGCTTTTAATCTGGAGACTGAAACCTTCTAGAAATCCAAGTAGGAAAATAGACAGCGGTATCACAAACTTTATCTTCTAGTCAGTAGCAGTGTAGAAATTCCAGAATGATCGAAAACACGCTTCAGGCTTGGACCTCTGCCCTCTGAACTACCAAGACCACTTGGAAGACGAAGCATGTGGTCTAGCTTCATAATTACGGGCTTCGGTTGAGCTCCTGAGATTGAAGTTTTTATGATGTGATATTTGACTGTCAAAGTGTAGGCTGAAACCACTAATTACTCAAAAAGGGAGCCAGCAAATATCTGGTGAATCTATGATGAACAGGTACATAAAGAAAAAAAAATGTGCATCAGCAGCCCAGATTTACGATATGATAGTCATTTCCACCACTTGGATATATGTACCTAACTCCTTTGAACCCAAAGTTATTGCTATCCTGTAGATTTTGCACAGCTTGGGTGTGGGTGGCCTCTGGCCTTGGAGGTCCATGTCCACTGTTGAAGCTATGATGGGAACTGTAAAGCGGAGGCCAGTTGGCATAATGACGTGTCACTCTCCCCCACTCTCGCTGCACATAAAGTGAAGGACTTGGGCAGATATTTTCACGTTGTACGGACTTTGGCTTCTTCAGTGTTAATCTTGATTATTGATTCTTTTTTGTGTAATTGTGGATCCCCACTCTTTCTCTCCTCATAGTGATAAATTAACCTTAGCCTATATCCTGTGTGATCGGCATAAAATGTTAAGGATATTTTCTGGCCTTTTCCAAGAAACGGCCCTATTAACTTGAATGAAACAGTAGTAACTGTTCTTTCAACATTTTTTTGTACCTTTTGTTCCTTAACTGTTTTGATTGTATAGTATTTTTTACATACCACTAGATCTGCGATGCACATAATATTTATGTGAATCTAAAAATCTGCTATGACAGAAAAGAATAGGAATTAACAGTTGAAGGGCTTGTTAGGGAACAAAAGTATTTGAACCCCAAACGTTATATTCTCATCTCCACTAACTATTTTTGCAGAAAAAGCTAGAAACTCCATTATAATGACTATATTTACTTATTTATACTTTCAAATTGGGCTTTTCATACTTATTTATTTAAGTTTTTAAGGACGCTTGCTTTTTTTAAACATTTATTTATTTTTGGAAGAGAGAGAACACGAGCAGGGGAGGAGCAGAGAGAGGGAGACAGAGGATCTGAACCCAACGTGGGGCTCAAACCTACAAACCATGAGATCATGACCTGAGCTTTTAACCACCTGAGCTACCCAGGCGCCCCTGAGGACATTTCTTTTTCATATTGTTTCTTTTCTTTTTTTTTTTTAAATGTTTTATTTATTTCTAGCAGAGAGAGAGAGAGCGAGCAGGGGAGGGTCAGAGAGAGAGGGAGTCACAGCCTGAAGCAGGCTCCAGGCTCTAAGCTGGCAGTCAGCACAGAGCCCGACGCGGGGCTTGAACCCATGAACCGCGAGATCATGACCTAAGCGAAAGTCGGACGCTTAACCGACTAAGCCACCCAGGCGCCCCTTTAATATTGTTTCTTAATGTGGAAACTGTAGGAGTACTTTAAAAGTAAAACCCCTAAGATAATAGATACATTTTTAAGCATTAACAAATTAACAATAATTCTTGAAATATTTATTAGGGTTTTTGGCTCAGGACCACTTTTTAGTTAAATGGTGTTTCTAAATTTCCAAGTGATTTATTAATAAAAAAAATCTATTAAGGTAATGCCATTTATTCTTTTTTATTTTACCATTCTTATTTCTTGATCAGCCTTATTTCGTTTAGATCTATAAATAATGCTGCTCTGTGCCCAGCAGTGAGTAGGTTTTATACATTTGGGGATTTGGCACAACAAATAGGGTATTAGTATAGAGGTTTTCTCCCAGTAAAAGGCTCCCATTTGATTTTGTGTTCAAGACTACAAAATGCACTTTCGTTTGACAACCTCTGAAATGACTAAATATTGCCCTTTGGAAAACCTGAATCTTTGCACTTGTTATTTCCAGAGTCTACCTCAGTTACCCAGGCTTCGTTTTAGGAGGGAATGAACTGAAACCATATTTAAATTCCGTTCACCATCTATGCACATTTGTCTGTTCACGCACTTCCCTTCTCTCCCCTCTTGCCTTCCTCCCACTACCTTTTTTTAAATTTCGAAATTTTCATTTGAAATATTTGCTTTTGCAAAACTACCTATTCCAAATTAGGCCTCTGGGAAATATCTGGGTTATTCTAATTCCCTTTTTGGGATGGCCTCATTATGTGGGTGTGTTTTGTTTCAAGACACAACACACACACCCTTTTTTCCACACGGCTACATAGATGCAAACTAACGTGATGACATGAAAAATCCTGGAACCTAATCGTTCCTGTGTCTACTTTATAAGAACCCACATGTGTATTTTCTGAAAACACCCAAAAATGGACACAGGTCTGTTCATGTGTTGTTACAGCAGCAGGGCGTTGACTTCAGGTACTGTTGCGCAGTTCCAGTGGATCATTACACGTCAAGATGGCTTACGTATGGTTACGAATTTTGTCTCAGTGTTTGTGTCTCAGTATTTTGAACCTAATTTAAGGAAAAAGATGTCTCTAAATTGTATTTATTAAATGTGCTTTTTCTTTTGCCGCGACTTTGCTAGTCTCATGAGCTTAGTCTTTGTGTGGAGGTTATGACTGGATAATAAATTTCTAGAGCATTGCTTGTTGGTGTTTTCTTTGTGCTTCATATTTGATCTACAGTCACTGATCCCCTTATTGCCATTAATGAGAGTAAGAAACCTCCAAGTTTCAGTTCTTAAAAAAATGACATATTGTAAACCTGACCTCTTGCATTTGCCACACATTATATTGATAATTTCAGGGTTGATGAAAATGAGAGTGACTTTTCAATGAATTCTAACTGGTTTAATAAATATGGTTGCCTTATTTATAGAACACCACTGCAAAATGGTGTTCCATATGGTGAATTTTCCAGATGACTGTACCTTATTTTATGAATCCCCCAAAACTATTTTTTTAATTAATGGACTTTATTAATTTTTTGGAGCGTATATAGGTTTACAGAAAAATTAAACAGTGACGAGAGTTCTTCCTCCCTCCTTTGCCCCCCTGCCCCGCCCCCTCAATGCTTCAAGCCCCTTTTATTAACATCTTGCTTTAGTGTAGTACATTTGTTATACTTGAATCAATGTTGATATGTTATTTTTACATAATTATTAAAGTGCATAGTTTACATTAAAGTTCACTCTGTGGGGTACAGTTCAGTGGGTTTTGATAAGAGCATAAGGCCATATATCTACCATCACAGGATCATCCAGAATAGCGTCACTGCCCTAAAAATCCTCCTGGCTCTGACTGTTCATCTTTCCCCCTCCCCTAACTCCTGGCAAGCTCTGATTTTTAAAAAAAATTTTTTTTTAATGTTTTATTTATTTCTAGGAGAGAGAGAGAGACAGCGTGAGCAGGGGAGGGTCAGAGAGAGAGGGAGTCACAGACTGAAACAGGCTCCAGGCTCTGAGGTGGCAGTCAGCACAGAGCCCGATGCGGGGCTCGAACCCACGAACCGCAAGATCATGACCTAAACGAAAGTCGGACGCTTAACCGACTAAGCCACCCAGGCGCCCCTGATTTTTTTTTAACTCTCTCTGCGGTTTGCCGTTTCCAGAGTGTTACATAGTTAGAATCCACTTAAGGCTTCTCCATGTCTCTTTGTGGCACGATAGTCCATTTCTTCTTCTCAGGGAATAACACTGTGTTACGTGGATGTTCCAGTTTGTTTGGAGGCCATCTTGGTTGCTTCCAAGTTTTAGAAATTGCTAAAAACTGCTATAAGCATTCACGTACAGGTTTTTGTATGGACGTAAATTTTCAGCTCATTCGAGTAAATACCTGGGAATGTGATGGCTGGAATATACGCTGAAAAGTATATTTAATTTTGCAGGACTCTGCCACACCGTATTCCGCACGAGCTGTCCCAGTCGCGTTCCCACCAGGAACACATGAGCTTACAGGTCGTCCCACATCCTCTCCGGCATTTGGTGTTGTCAGGGTTGCGCTCTTGTCTCTCTGAGAAGCAGTAACACTGCTGCTGTAATTCCCCGTCCTGTGCTGACATGTGGAGCACCGCCTCCTATGCGTATCTATTTTTAGTTGGTTTTTATTGAAACCTTGCCAAAATGTATCACACATGTTCTCCGACTTTGTAAAACAGAGAACTGGAACTTCACCTTTTCTTTGTGATTCAGAGTTATCCTGAAGACACGCCACCCTCAGCAGCTGGTGGAGGGGGGTAGGGGGCAGGGGAGTGGCAGCGTGTTTCTACCTGTCACTCGCTCGCCTTTGAGTTTTGGCGTTTGCTCTTACAGCATTCTTACCGTTCCGTTATCAGGCCGTCAGCCTCTCTTCCCCTTCCAGGTCCTGCCTCCAGTCTGTAGTGAACCCAGTGAAAGAGCTGTTGGGCTTGTTAGAATTCTGGGTAAATTTCGGAGGGCAGCCATTGGGGGCTGAGGACGGGTAGGGGGCTGTGGTCTCTGAGCTCTGGTGCTGTGTTTCGTTTCTCTAGGCTGTGCATGGCCTTTTCAGCTTTCTCTTTGGTGCCCAGCTTTCTCCCTGGCAGCCCCCAGTGCCAAGTAGATGTTTATACCTGATTATGTTGTCACGTAGTTGTAGCATAGGTCGAGCTGGAAGGCTCCCAGCACCCATTTAATCCCACAGCCCCAACCCGACTTCTTGCTGAGACCATTACTGACGGATTTGCTCTCTTACAGGCTACCAGGGAAAAGAATTGGGCAAATGGGACACAAAGTAGGAAACGCTTGTGGCTGGCGCCGTCCTTGTGGCTGGCCCTTTGGTCCTTGCTACTTTCTCCGGCGTCACAGTGATGGGCTCACGTGGCGGAGAATACTTGAATGTCAGGGCGTTTGCCCAGTGAAGCCGGGAATGGAGTTGGAAACTGTGAGGGGAGGTGTAGGCATCGCCCAGCCAGTGACCCTGCTGCCAGGCAAATGCGTAGCCAGAAGGGCCACGTAGGCTGTCAACTCAGGCCTGGATTCTGGAAGCTGTTGCCCTGGCTGGACGTGACCTCAGGCGGCTGCAGCTGGCCCAGACAGGGACGGGGTCCACCTGGGCTGCGTCAGTCTCCATGCTCCCTCCACCGCGCCCGCCACACCAGGACGGTGTTCAGTCCTGAACTTCCTATCCTCTTTATGGTCAGAAACGTTTTATGGCCAACTCTTCTCTAAGTTTTCTAAGATCTTCTGTGGACCTTGCATGTAAGTTTCGACAGGCTCTCAGCAGCAACCCACAGTGCCGAGACCTGAAGTTGGGAGCAAATGGCTTGTCCAGTCCCCTCATCTTACATCTTACAGACCTGAACCCAGAGAAATATTACGATGTGTATTCAAGATCACGTTTTGAACCGGGAAATAGGACTTGTATCTATTTTTGATTTGGAAGAATGCTGCAGATAAGTTGTAAAGAAAACAAGCCAGACAGCAAGACGTTTGTTAAAGCACTTTTAAGCCCCTGAAGCATAGGAGTACAGACTACTCACCTAAGTCAATGATTGTTAAAAATAGGAAACATAAGATAAATTGACGTCATAGATTGGAACAAACATTTCTAACGTTTGCTGTGTGCTAGACCCTTTTACCTTACCTTCATTGCTTTATTAAATCAGTATGTTAGCTCTAAGATTTACTGTTATTCTCTTTTTGCAGAAGAAGAAACTAAAGTTTATAGAGTGACTTGCTCTAGTCATTTGGCCCCTAAGAAGTGGCAGAAGGAATGGAATTCAGTTAGTTTAGTTCCAGAACCTATTTCTTTGCCATATTCCATGATTACTTTTAACAGTGAAAATGCAAAAGTACTGAATTCTTGAAATAAATATTACATTTACTCATTTTTCTGAAGTTATTAATCATTATTACCTTCTCTTTCCTATAATACTTTTGCACCAGGAGACTTTTAGGCTCTCATGTTGTGGGATTAAAAGGTATTGGAGAATGTTATTGCCATTTGCTGTTATCAGAGGATAAATATACACCTACTTGTTTTTCAGGACAGGCCTTATTCATATAATAAATGAATAAATATAATAAAACCCGTCATTCTAAGAGTTTCCACAAATCATATTTAGACCACCAACTGAAGCGACACAAAGCTCCATCAGTTATTTTTATTAATAAGACCCCGGACAGTGCTCTGCCCACTGGACGACAGCTCCATGGTCATTAGCTGTGCATATGGGCACCGTTTGTTACCAGGAGAGCTGCCCTGTGTACTTGGCCCCGGGGTCAGGGTCTGCGTCTGAAGCACTATCCCAGTGCTGAGTTCAGTTCTGAATGTTCAGGGTGCTTTCAATTAGCACATCTTGAATAACTTCTTTAGACAAACCAATCATGGTATGACTACTGTATTACAGAACATAAATCTTACACTATAGTGTTAGTAATTATTATGTAATTAGAGATGGATGAATCAAGCCTCGTTTGCAATTTGTAAAATACCTCAAGCTATTTTTCAAACATTTTGAAATATGTTTTGTAACATTTCTCAAATGTACTTTACCAGGCATATTTCCTCTAATTTTTAAGCCCTGTGTATTTAAGGAAATTTAATCCATATGTTTCTGATTCATTTGCACTTAACTCATCAAAGTTATTTTTTAAGAACAATTTAGTTTCTAAGGAGCCTTAGGAACCCTTGTCATGAATTCCGTCAGCCTTTAAAAGCCTCTTCCCCAATCAAAACTTTTTCCCTCCAGAGATAAATGTGGATGAAATTTCGGTTTACAACGCAGAGCCCGTATTTCAAAATCTAAGCTAGTTCTGAATTTAGTGTAATAAGTTATTCTGCCTCTACTGAAAAAACTTGCTTCATTTGTTTCTCTTCAAAGCAGGTCTCTGCAAAGAGTTTGTAATAAATAACTGTGCTCTCTTGAAAACACAGCACACTGACTTCTGTCCTACCTTCCCAAATTCATAGCATGGGGGACAAATGTGGGTCGATCAGACAAAGCAAAGAAAGTGAACTGTTTTGGGGGGGGCCCATCACCCACATGATGAATATGGGTACATATTCAAATATACATGTTTACATTCATAAAATGCTTACATTCTTTTAGATGATCTTTTTTGATTTTTACCTGCACTTAACAAATTCTAGCAAGACTGCTGTATTCTGGATTAAATTCATAATTTATTGTGAAATGATTCTTAATTGTTCTCCTGTCTCTTCAGAAATGTTTCCCACCTGAGATTTTGTTCCCCAGGTTTGTGTTGCCCCTCAGTCTGTGAGCACAACTTTTTGTGTAGTTTTCATTCAACGGGGTGATTGTATGAAATCTTCTTCGAAAAAGTAAGGTCACTGCAGTGAAGGTAAAAGGAAATACGCCGACAACTAATTGGACAGAATGTCATATACCAGAGTGAGTCTGGAAACGGTTTGCTGACACATAGCAACAGGAATGGAGGCTGCTCGAGGCGGCCAGAAGCTGTATTCAGAAATATTCACAGTAAAAGAAAGGTACCATTTTCTTGGGTTCTCATTAGAAAATGAAATACATATTTGCTAATCGTAAGAAATGTGTGAATCGTAAGAAATATGTGAAATACATATTTGTTAATCGTAAGAAATCACCTCTTACATTCCTAGTTTTTGGTGGAAACTATCATTTTCTCCCCGAATTTTTTAATGTGGGATGAAAACAGCTTTTCTGTACTTTCCAGAGCGTACCAATTTCTTATATATTTTGCCAGTCTGCGCTGTAAATGAACTCTTAATATTTTAGGAAAAACTTTGATGATAGATGAATTTCTTTTAAGAATTAACACCTATTTTTTAAAATTCAAACCAAAATGAAAGACCTCTTGCTTGAGGGGATACTTTTACCTTTCACCTTATATTTTTCCATATGATAACTACAAAGGAAATATGCTTATGCATTTTTAAGATAGTTTTTAAAAAGCAATATTTATAGAAATCAAGTAAGTCAGTGCCTGGTTTCTGTCTCCCTAAACCCCTTGGCCTAGAAGTCCGTCACGACTCCAGCTCATTTCCTATGACTCCTAGGGCAGGACTGTGCTGGTCACGGTCACTGGTAACCTGGGACAGTGTTCTGCAAATTTCTGTGATGGCTCCTGTCCGTCAGTAAGAAATTTGTGACTTTTCCACTCTGACTGTGTTGATAGCTTGCCGAACATTTGTAATTTACAGGAGTATTTGTATACAATTTATAACAGTATTCACAAAATTAGAAAATTTAGAGATTGTAAATATGAAAACACTGCCAAATAATTTTGTTGGTATAAAATGCCCTTGAGAAATTATGAAGAGTGTTTGTACTGAGAGCTGTGAGGTTAAATATGCCTCATTCTTTTTTTTTTTTTTTAATCTTTGGCCTCTCTGGGTACAGTGATTTAGTGTATTTCACTGCTTAGCTTTAATGATTGTTGTGGTGAAAAGGTTACTTCACAAAAGTGTATAGATCCACGTGGAAGAAAGAAATCATTGGCTGCAACTCTAAGTCATGAGCTTTATTAAAAATGATTAAAATTCATGCTCACAGAAGTTTTCATTTACCTTTGGCCGTACCTGTAAACTGACTTATGTGTAAGATTTTTAAAGAAATAGGAAAATTATTTCAAGTTTAAGTTGCATATATTAAGAGTTTTTAATAAGGGAAGACTCCTTGTTTTTGGCAACAAAGTCACAGAATAGTGGAAACACCTACTCTAGGTTGAGACCTAGGTCTTCCTTCTGCCTGCCTCCCTGCCCCATGTGGGCCCAGGAATCCCAGTTCCCAGTCCCTTGCTCTCATAGTGTGTCCCCCAGTCTGCTGTCTGGACGTGATCGTGCTCAGACACCGTGGGACGAGGTTCATTCCCTCTGTGAGTTCCTCTCTCCCCGTCTTGAAAGACCACCTGACTTGTAGATACGATGTGAATGTCGCCGTCCATTTCTTGCTTCTCAAGTTGTCAGTGATCCCTGCACCAACATGCACAACCTGCCCAGCTGTCCCTCCCGCTTCTGTGCAAAACTGCCCTGCGGAGGCGCCAGGTTGTTGCAGTTCTCCTTTTATCTGCGCGGACGTTCCCAGAGCCACCGGCCGCCCGAGGCGGCTGCTTCCCGGCCTCCTCGCTGACGCAGACGGGGGAGGCCAAGGACCCTCCATTCAATGTGAATGGAACTGTTGAAGGGAGAAGCAAGAGTAGAGCAGAGATTCCGAGTCCCTGAGAGGAAAGTGCGAAGGTGTGAGAGTCCCACTGGGAGGGAGGATCGAGGACAGAGGATCTGGAGGTGTTGAAGGGAAGGAGTCTGCATGTGTCCTGTGACCGGGTGAAGACCGCCACGCCACAAATGTCCCGTCTTCACTTGCTCCGTGTGTACTCTGGTCAGAGCCTCACTCCTGCTCTCTGGCTAGAGATCGACCAGCTGTTTACACAAGTGGTCTCTGCCAGATCACGAGAGGTGTTACGGGATTGTGAGAACGTCAACTTGGGTCAGAAACCTGGATTCCTACCCCAGCTCCCCCACTTCCAAACTGGGTGGCCTTGGGCAAGTTACTTACCCACTGTCTGCCTCCGTCATCTTACCTTCAGATGGAGATGCTAATCGTGTAGGACTGTCGGGAAGACGAAATGAGATCCTGCTTTGAAGGGCTTACCAGTGTCCGGCTCTGCAGTAAAGCCGTAGTAAACATGAGCTACAGTGCTGAGCTTGAGCTACGGTGCTGAGCTGGCCCCCAGCCAGGTCTCCTGGAGCCAGTTGCTGAATTTTAAGGAAAGGTGCAAGCCTTGGACCACCCACAGCTTGGGATTGGCCTTGGCGTGTGTATCTTTAGCACACCCCCTTGGAGAGCCAGTTTACCGGCATGCCACCAGTTAGCTATTTTTATTTTGTGTTTTTTCTTTTTTCTCCACACGCAAAGCAGCCCTGGATGCCCAGTCTAGCTCTTTGTCAGTCCCTCTGAACTAAGTAGATGCAGTGATGAATAATATTCCTAACCCCTGCCAGTCATAGTGGAGACTGTCAGACTGATTTGCATTGAGCCATTTTTAACTTGGGGGCGAATGGCCATTTGGGATCTGCCATCAGGGGCCACTCTTTTCTTACTCCAGTACTTTTATTGCAGCGTAGTAGAAATCTGAGGATACCAGAAATCAACCGAAGTGTTGCACTGCCCCTTCATTTCCTGCCAAATACTGTGAGCTCCATCTAGGCAGTGCCCACACTGTTCTCATCTTTTTGCCAAAGGTGAGATTCTTTAATTGCCCAAAAGGTTCTGAACCCCCAGAATTGGCATGGTTTACCTAGTGGTTGTAGACATGCGTACACAGAAGTATTTTGCCGGGTGTTTGTGAGAACTATTTGGCTTTTTTTTTTCTTTTCTTTTCTTAGCAAAGGTGGTAGAGGGAGGAGGGAGAGAGGGTTCTGTTCTCACTTCTTTTAATACCTTCCCTGATCCAAAAACTGGAGTTTAGTGGTAGTACCCACTTAGAACCCTCTGGCCTCATTTAGCACACAATTACATTTCTCTCTATTTGCAACAGGAACAGAAAAGTAAGCATAATTTCTCAACAAAGAGGGGATTTAGAAGCTACACACTGTTTCTCTTATTGCAGAAAGAGACACATCTTCTAGAGGATCGCACAACAGAGCCTGTGTACCTTGCTTAAGAATCACAGACTGGAGTGGTAGTTCGTCCGCCCCACTTGCTTTTCACAAGGAAGAAAAGGTGTTACATGATGTCAGAAGGTCTCCGGTTCTGCACTGCAGAGGGTTTCCATTTCCATGGTAGGACTTTTCCTATGCACATGCATGAGGGATCCTGCAGGAAGGGGGTCCAGAGGACCTAAGCAAGACCTATTTTTTCATCCATTTTAATTTGAATCTTAAACTAAGATTATTTATGTAAGCCTACTTAGACCTTTATTAAATCATTCAAAGTTTTGAATGTCCAGCCGATTCTAGGTAGAATCCCCGTGTGCAGGAACTTGACCTGCTAGAGAAAGCCCTGAAACACACCATCCCAGAATTCTATGCACTGATGACAGTATGTGACTGAGAAGTGGTGTGGAGGAGGAAAAGGACAAAAAAGGCTTCCCAGAGGAGGTGATGTCAGCCACGTTTTGAAGCATGATGGCAAGGGAAGGAATACTAATCCAGGTGGGGGAACAGTCATCGCCTTCCTGGTGACTTGTATCAGAGCGACAGTTCTTGAGCCCTGCTGTTTCTACCCGACACCGTGAGCTCTGTGAGGGTAGGGAGCGATATGATCCCTGATTGCCTCCTGTACGTTGCAGGTGCAGGTTCTCACATCCCCGGTGGGCAGTGAGAACCTGCAGTCCGAGAGGGAGGCCTCCTCTCTCCTCACGGTGAAACTGTACGCAAAACCGTTCTGAGGAAAACTGGCACCAAAAGACATGTTTGCTGCAGGGTGATGGCGAAGCTTGGATTTGAAATCGGCTCCTCTGCAGGAAACCTAGAGCAAAAAAATTGGGTGTCTAGTCTATGGACGTGGCCTAAATAAACACAAAGCTCATTTATTTTTGTGCAGCTTCAAGTCACCCCATTGTGATTACTGGTTGTTGATAAACTGCGTTGCCTGCTTTCTCTCGCGGGGATGGTGGCCGCCCTGGGCCACAGCTGGCCACGGAGACACAGCAACAGTGCTCCTCCTGATGGTTTGATTTTCACGTGCCGTGGATGACAGGACAACTCTGTGGTCACCATATCTTTCCAGTGCTACAACCCACCCCTCTCCCGCCACCAGTGGCTTTTCCAGGTTCATGTGCAGTCTATTAGTCCATCTTGGAATCGTCTACAGGACAGAACTTTTCTCCGTGTGTGAACCAAGCCTACTTTTGTAAATCAAAAGGTGCTTCTTCATTTGCAGTTGTATATTAAATTCACACATTGCGGATTGAAATTCACACACAGTCTATTTTGCATTACTCACACTTAATAGTAATTTCTTTTGGCTATTGCCCTTAGGCTATATAGGAATGGAAAAAATAGATTTGAACTCTTTATTTTGACTGTGTTCACAGATTGTAAATCTAGTTCTGTTTTCCCCCCTCTTAAAGGAACACACATTACTTTCTGAGCAAAGTCTAAGTAGACAGGTTTGCCTTACAACCGTGTTCATTTTACCCAAATTATCCTGTCGTTTCATTTGGAAAATCCACCTGTCTTTCTGCCCTAATTTGCTGCCTCTGAACGATATCCACCAGTGAAATAGTGAGGAAAATCATGTCCTGATTCGATAATGATTTAAGATTGACCTATTTCATAGTTGGAGGGGGCCTTTCCGATCACTGAATCCAGTGTTTCTCATCCTGAGTTAGAGAATCCATTCGTTCTTTGAGAAATTTCTCCGTACTGTGTTTTCATTAGATGAAAAACCACAAAAAATATAAGCACAGACCTCTCTGAATGGAGGACTGCCATGAGATTGCAAAGGTGACATGACTTGGCTCCAGGGATAGGGTCGAGGTTTCCTGTGGGCCGAAGGGAATTTAGATATATGGTGAATTGAAGGCATAGCCACTATGGCAGTGCCACGCCATCCCCAAATTCCTGTGGGAGGCAGCTGGTGTCACATATTTGAATAGTTGCCTATTTCTGGCATCCGTGGTGCTATCTAAATTATAAAGCTGCTGTGGTCAGGAGCATCCATTCTAAGAGCACTGACAGCCAACCAGTCCTGGTCATTCTTTGAGTCTTTATCCTGCATGCTCAGCAGCGGGTGGTGGATCAGTCAGCCTTCTGTAGGTCAGACTGAGATAACAAAGCAATCCCTACATTTGAGTCGTTCATAATAGCAAAGGTGTGTTTCTTATACCCATAGATGTGTCGCCTGCAGCTCTTCTTCGGCTGTGATTCTTCTCCCTACATTGTCTCATTTTGAGATCCGTGATGCCTTCAGTAGACCCCACCCCCACCCCCGCCATCTCCATGACCTAGGGAAAAGGGCAAGAAGGCTCAGAAGCATTCAAAAGCTCTTAAAAATTCAGATGGCGCACATATTACCTCTGCTGTGTTCCACTGACCAAAACAAGTCACATGGACAAACCCGTTGTCAGTGAAACAAGGAAATGTTATTCTCTCACAAGGTGTCACACGGCAGTAGGTAGACATGTAGAATGTCGCCTCTTCCAGGGAGGGGTTGAATAGCTGGGAACAGTAATATACTGTACTGCGCGTGACCATCCGCCCACACACTGGTGCACCTCACAGCTCCCTGTCATGCTGGGTGACAGGGCTGTTCAAGCCCGGCTTTCTGTCTTTCATTTTCATTTTTTCTTATCTGAAAGTTTTAGAATTGGGAAGCCAGACCGTTTCAGGGCCAAGTGCATGTTTAGAGACCTTGCCTCGTGCTTTTATTTTTCTTGTAGAGGAATTGAGGCCTTCCGAGGAGATTTGCCCAGATCACACGGCACGGCACTTCGCTACAGTACTCTCCTCACAACACCCACTTGTGAAAATGTTAGACAGGAATTGCTGCATTGCTAATTGTAAAAGAAAACACTTTGATTGTTCCTGAAATCGTACGCCATGTGAGAGACAGAGAGATGAAACAGAACCCGAGTGGTCAATCTCGGAATGAAAACTGGCTCCGTTTGCTATCCATTTTCTTTCTAGCCACACTTGTGTTAGAGGCAACCTATTTAAATGTATTATGCAGCATCAACAGCGCACCAGGAGCTGTTCAGTACTACAGTGAAAGTCCCAGTTCCTGCCAAGGCAAATCACGTCTCTATTTTATAAATAGTCTGCGCCCTGTTGCCGAGTTGATTTAAAATAAAACCTGTATGTAGTACGCAGCATGTTTCCTTCCAGCCTTGATGTGGGGGAACAGCAGGCGATAAGCCAGGCGCTGAAGACATTAAACGGGGCGAGCTGTGCAGTGGATAGTCCGTGGGCTCCTGATGCTCTCATGGTGTCCCCAACGGATAAACATAATGCAGCACTGCCTGTGGGAAGTGTGGGCGACCTTCCTGCAGCCACTGTCTTTCCCAGCACCCCGCTTCTGTTCTTTGGGGATTTCACATCCTGAGACCAATGACTAATGAAACAGTGATAAAACAGAAGTGGCTGGAGGAGCTCCCAGGCAGAGGGCAGTGGTTGGGAGACAACAGAAAAAGGCAACATGGATGCTGCCATTCCTTTGGGGATGGGGTGGCGATGGGGGAGACCCAAGTGCTTATTTCACGAGAGGCTCACAAATAAGAGCCAAAAGGAGAGCACAGAGATGATGGCCTCTGTGCCCCAGTGAGCCTCTGATGTACAGTTTCCCTGCGGGTAAGCCTGCAGGCAGGGCCCCTCTAGGTGGATGGCTGCATACATCTTGGGCAGCAGTTCTAAAATCTTGAAGAACAGCGACCAAAGCAGTTTAAAGTTGCTTGCATTCGCCAGCACCTTAGATAACACAGGTCACAAACTCAGGGGATAATTAGTAGAGCTTCAGGGTGGTTGAGGTCAAACGGCATATAGCGTGGAAAGAACACACCCAGCTTCCACCTCCAGCCTCTGCCAGGGAAGGAGACGAGGAGGAAAGGACTTTTTGAAAACGAGTTAATTGAAAACTGCTTTGGCCTCTGGAGACTGGAGGCAAGATTAGTCCAACTAGATTTTGAAATGGCCCATTTCTGTTTTTTCTCTTCCTTTCACCTCCTGAAACATTTTATCCTGTGAATCAAGTGCCTGGTTCTCTTGGGTTTTCTTAAACCTCCAGTTTTGACATCCCACTCAGCCGGCTCCGCGTTGGGTCACAACAATCCCCCCAACCACCGTGCCAGTCAGAGTGCCCTTTCCCTAGTTGATGGGTGTTAGGAGAGCAATCCAACTAAATTTTATGACTCACATTGACACTGTGACCTTTGTGTATTCCACTTCTTCAGCTTGCTTTCCCCAGTCTTTCCTCTCTCTCTCTGGCTATAATTTTGAATTACCCTTAGGTATAAAATGTATACCCATAAAGGTTCTAGACAATCAATTAGGGTAATTATCAGAACCACTTGGAAGGCTTTTAAAAATACACATGCCTACACACCCAGGATATTGAGATCCTAATTTTGTGGGCTTTCGAGTGATGTAGATATCTGAATTTTTAAAAAGCACCTGGGTGGCCCAGTCGGTTAAGCATCCAACTTCAGCTCAGGTCATGAGCTTGTGGTTTGTGAGTTTGAGCCCCACATCGGGCTCTGTGCTGACAGCTCAGAGCCCGGAGCCTGCTTCAGATTCTGTGTCTCCCTCTCTCTCTGCCCCTTTCCTGTTCACTCTCTGTCTCTCAAAAATAAACAGACATTGAAAAAAAATTAAAGAACAATCTTCCTGGATGATTTTTAATTGAATCATCTAATGCTTTGCTTCCTCAGTAAAGAATTCTTGCATAGGAAAGTCTGTTTTTCTCTTGTTGGTTGCCATTCTTGAAGTGGGCACTATCTTTCACCTTAGTATCTTAATAGTACTCCTAGAATCAGCTTTTTGTTGATTTTGATTTTCAAAGTTCACTAAACAGATATTCTTAGACTTTATTCTTCCTGCCCAAATTCCCAGGTTGTAAATTTGGCCACCTCCAGGGATTAGAACACTTAGCAGTGCTTGGAATTGCCTGATTTAAAGACGGGCAGAATCCACTCTTACAAGTGATCTTATTACCTGATCCTAATTTCCTCCTCCTTATCCCTTCTTCCTTTACTTAGGACCTCTCTTTACCTATCTCTCACCTCTAGGGATTTTTTTACGGTGTCAGAAAGTTATTTCAATTGTTGTGAGTGTCTTATCAGTCCCATTTAATTACCACTTAGCATAGTCATGGCTGTGCATGTCATTAAAATGTATTGGATTTGCTTTGTTGTAAGTTTTACTTAACGCTAACACTGAACTCTGTTTATATGTTGCGCTGATACCTTGCCTGTCTACTCAAAAATTAATAAAACAAAGTGGAACAGTTGTCTGGTAACATTTCATTTGTGTTTGACTGACAGTTTGGCACGGTTGCAGCAGAAACCAAGCGTAAACAACAGGCCTGAGTTTACTAGGCTGGCGAGAGCCAGATAGTTGGGTATTCTCATCTTTCATTTGGAATTTTAAAGCAATTGCAGTCTCTTCAAATTTCTACCAAGATAGAGGTGTGTGTGTGTGTGTGTGTGTGTGTGCATGCCCACATGCACACACATGCACATGCCTTTGGGGGTGGAAGAAGGATCTTTGCCAAGACATTTGGCAACCTCTCTAATGATGTCCTTATGGACAAGGTAGAGAAATATAACCTGAATGATAGTTACATGGGTTCTTGGCTAATAGAATGACTCTATCAAAGGGCGTTAATTAGTAGATCTGTGCTGGACTGGAAAGAAGGCTTAATACCATGCAACAGGACCTTGCACATGACCCTGTTCTCCAAGTAGTTTAGTAGAAGGTGAATATGTAGATATCAAATTTCTAGGTGACCCACAGCTGGGAGGGACAGATTCTAGTGAAGACTGTTGAAACAACATTTAAAAAGAACTCAGTAGGTGGAAGGAAGAGCTAAATGAGAAAAATTTTCAATATAAAGAAATGAAATGAGGTAGAAGCAGATACAAACAGCTTAATCATTTGCTTGTTGCACAAGTTAGGGAGACCTAGTATAATGCCATTATGTGTTACCTGAGGGCGTTCCGACTTTCCAGAAATTTGTCATGAAGCCCCCATAGGACCTCTAGGCCAGTCAGTGGATCTGGGATCTCTTGAGGGGCTTGATCACCTAAGCTAGTGAGGAAAACCTTGGAACCCCGCACACCCACCCAGGAATCCACCATTCACAGCACTTGGTACCTCTCTTTGTACTTATCATAGTACATTACAGTCAGGTTCTTGTGCACCTGTCCCAGCTTCTTCAGTGTGAACTTCAGGGTAAGGACCATGGTTTACCCCTTTCCCACTTCCCAGGGCCGAATGCCTGTCACGGTCACAGACTGGGGAGTCCAGAGAGTCCCTACAGACAGGAATCTTTTGTCTGTTCATTCTGTTCATTGCTGCATCCACGGACGTAGAACAATGCTTCGCATCAGGTAGGACCCAATACATATTTAATGAAAGGATGAAGATGAACATACATTCAGCAATACATACCGTTCAGTGTGGTTGTGACATGTCCCATTTGTAAGTCACTCCATGGCTACCCTAAAGCCCTCAGGAGCTGAATTCACATCCTTTGTGTTTTGCTTCTCAGGTCTTTGTCCATTCCCATCTCTGATTACATCTGGTATTTACTCAGAAAAGCTCAGCTAGGGCAAAAAAAAAAAAAATGTTTGATGATTCTTTGCAGAGGTATACCCTGGGTGTAATGAATTAATCACTGGCAGAAAGTTAAGGGTGCAGGGTGAAGTCAGATGGATCCGGGTTTAGGTTCTGTCTTGGACAAGCTTCTTTATGAGATTTATGACTGTGATATAAAATATCCTTCTTTCGTGAAGCCTAGGTGTTCTCATCAAAGAGGGTAGATACTGTATGGATCTACCGTCTTAATCAATGTCACTATTGTTACTGGTTTGTCAAGGTCTTGGCTCAACAAAGACCCTTGAGTTGCAAGGGAGAAAACTCTAGGAAGAATCAAGGAAAAAGAAATTCGATATTGCTAAAGGCCTGCTTCAAGGTTTACTTCTTTTGTATGTCAAAGCACCTGCTCCTGTTAGACAAGTAAGCTCTTCAGAGGGGGCAATAGAGGCCCTGCATTGCAGAGGGAGCTGATGTCTCCATGGTAACAGCACATCAGCTTCGGATGCGGGCACACCTGGTATTCTCAGGTTACTCCACCATATGGCACCTCATATATTTCATCAAGGAAAAAAAAACCTACCTTGGCCTCCCCCTACTGCATAGGCAAACACAAGCACACGTACCCCCAACACCCTCTGTCTAATCCACGGCCACTGAAAAAGAGATTGGAAACACAGTTCCCAAAGCCATTCTTTCAAACAAAGGGCCAGAAGAGTTATTCTGGCTTCAAAGAGGTGCCCAGAAGAGAGGTACCTGACAAGTAACATTTGCAATTTGCCTCTTCTATGAGCCTGACGTAGAATCATGTGGTCTCCCGCTCCCCCACCCCCACCCCTGCCCCCGTTCCTGGCTTGCTAATAAAGCAGCCCCATTCATAACCCTGCCAAAAGCAGAATCACATCCTTGACCATGACTCATCTCATGACACCATTTGTAGAAGTGGCCTCTCAAACTCTCCCTACATATAAATGCCCATTAAAGCCTCTGCTTTGAACTAGTTTAAAAGGAAAAAGAAAGATTTCCTGGTAGGATTAAAAAAAAAAGAAAAACGCAGCCTGCCTGTAGCCGTCATGTGACACGACCAAAGACTTATGGCCGCTTAGAGATTTCCTGTCTTGCCTCAGAAACAGATGTTTTAAAATTTCATGTTAAAAGAGATGTCAGGAATTGGGAACAGAAGTCACTGTGCCTCGCAGCGTATCAAAGTCTTCCTTTTCAATGGGCATCTTATGGATTTGGTTTCTTCACACCACATTCCCCGGAAAGTCCATTTAAATTAAGCACGCGTGCTGCTCTGGCCTGCCTGGGTGTGCCCACAGGGCCTGGTGTACGATATGCTTCACAGGGAGCCTTTGAAGACACTGTCTTAAAAAGCCACAGTTAAGAAATGTTAGAATTTAGGTTCTAGAAATGTTGGCTTACTTAGGTTGCTACACTGTTCTTGCTGTTTTGTTTTGTTTTGTTTTAAGTACATTGGGTAGCCTACTGACTAATAAATAATAGTCACCAGACGTATCCATGCAACATGGGAAAGTGAGCTGTGCTCTCTAAAGTTTGTAGTTGACGTTTTGAAACCAGTTCAATGTGCGGGGATCCTGGAGCACTACGTCGCCTTGATGTGTGGCAAAGGCTCTGTGTTGAAAGCAATAAAAGCTTGTCCTTGTGTGGCACGGCAGCTTTTGACAATTCACTGGCCCCTTTTTTCTACTGTGTCCCCGCTCCGCGTGGTCATGGGGAACTTTGAGACTGTGTGGAACCTGAGAGGGGACTGTGGGTCTCTTGGGGCATAGCTGATCTCTCCTCAACATGCCAGAAACACTCAGACTTGCAGTTACAGCCGAGATGAAGCAGCCCCCGCCCTCCAAGCTCCTCTGTCTCCCAACTAAAAAGGTGATGGACGTAACAAACAAGCACAACGGACTTGAGGAACAGCACGGTGGGGGGTCCCCCCGGGTTTCTCTACTGCCTTCTGTATATTCTGGACAGAGCTCTACAAGAGCTTTCAAACTGGAATTGCCAACAGGCACAGACCAAAAGAATCGCCAAGTAATGCCTGTTCCCCATAGCCAAAAGGCCTAGAAAGGGGTCACCTAGCCACAGAAAGCCTTTTTTGGCAATATTCGCCCTGCTTCAGTCAAATACTGGTAGAAAACTCCCGCCTCCAGAGTTTCAGCAGGGCCGACCTGGGAGCTGATCTTTTCCCACAACCCCCTGTGCTGAGAAGTAGGTAGTAGGACTCTCATGTCCTGCTCAGTAGGGCTAAGCAGAGATGTGTCTAATCCTCCGCCTCTGACTTGGTGGCAGCAGGTGGTGCCCTAATTCCCCACAGGAGACTGTCTCTGGGCCAAGTGGGTAGTTGATCATTCAATCTCTGCTCAGTGAAAGCAGGCAGTGCTCCAGTTTCCCTGGGTAATATAGGTAAAGCCCAGTAGCTAGTTGAGCCTTTTGCTTCCTTGGGATCAAAGAGGCAGAGTGAGGTAGGAGGCTAGGTGGCATGCTGATTCCCATCTTCCTTCCGCTCCCCTCCCCCAGTGTCAGCAGGGCCCAGCAAGGAGCTGAGCTTCTGCCCCAGTCCTGTAGCAACAGAGCCGTGTGAGTGAGCCCTCTGCTTCCCCACTACCAGGGGTCAGTGGGGCCCTTGAAGGCAATGGGCTGTTGGTGCCCCACTTTTGGTGGGAAGGCATCAGTGGGGTTAAGCCATAAACTTACAGATTCAAGAATCTGAGTGAAATCTAAATGGGATAAACCCAAATGGTGTGAAACCCATGCTAAGACACATCATAATTAACTTTTAAACCTAGAGACAAAAAAAGAAAAAAGAAATCGTGAAAGCAGCCAGAGAGAAACAACGCATCACATATAGGGGAACACTAACTCCAAAAACAGCAGATTTCTCATCTGAAACCATGGAGGCCAGACAGAAATGGCACAACATTTTTCAAGAACTGAAATAAGAGAACTGTCAGCCACCAATTCTATAACCAGCAAAAATGTCTTTCAAGAGTAAAGGGGAAATAAACCTTCTCAGACAATAAAAAAGTAAGAGATTTTGTCGCTAGGAAACCTACCCTTTCAGAATGGCTGAAGAAAGATCCCCATACATAAAGGAAATGGTAACAGGAGAAGGCTTGGACTGGAAAAGGAAAAAACACTAGAATGGGTAAGAAACAGGAATAAATAGACTGTTCTACTTCTTAGAGTTTCTTAACATATTGGAAGGTTCAAGCAAAAATTATAACACCATCTGATGTGGTATTCAATATATGTGTAGAAAATTCTTAAAAGTATATTTTAAAAATGGGGAATGTAGACGGACCAAAATGGAAGTAAGGTTTCTATCCATCTCTCAAAAGTAGTTGACATTGATACTGTAGATGAGAAGTTATGTATGTATATTATAATATCTATAGTGACCACAAAGAAAACTATGGAGACTAAGATACTCAAAAATGTTGTAAATATATCAAGGTGGAATCTTAAAACATGCTCGAGTAACCCAGAGGAAGGTAAGAATAGAGAAGGGGGAATTAGAAATAAAGGAAATAGAAAACAAAAAAGTAGCTGATTTAAGCCCTCATGTATGAACAGTTACCTTAAATGTAAATGGTCTAAATATAATAATTAAAATACAGAAATTGACTGAGTGGATTTAAAAAATGGCCCAACATATGTTGTTTATAAAAAACACTTCAAATACAACTGTGTACGTAGGTTGGAAGTAAAAGAATAGAAACAGATATATCATGCAAACATTAATAATAGTGGTGGTAATAAAAAGCAGGAGTGGCTATATTAATGTCTGGTTACAGTAGACTTCAAAGCAAAGAAAGTCTCGAGAGACCAAAGTTGCATTACATAATGATGGAAGCCTCAAGCCACCGGAAGATATAAAGCAATAAGATAAAAGATAAACTGTGGCTCTGGTTTTGATGGCACATTCCTCTCTTCCTCACTGGCCCATGAGAGCCTTTGAAGACAAGACTCATACCTATTGGTGTTGCCCTCTCACCCCACCTGCCCCAGGAGGTGCTTAAGAAATGTTTTGAACCAATTGTAGTGGAAGTCTACTGCAGCTGTGGTCTGGCTCACAAGAGCACCCCCTTCTCTAGAAAGGGCCTCAGAGGAACTGAGGAGCCTATGGCTGGCTATTCATGGCACTATGATAGTCTATGTCAACTGAGATGCACTCTGAAGCAGAGAAAGTGTTAACTGGCTCACTCTTGACTTGAGGTGGTGTGGGAACTTACTTTTCCAACGTGCTCCCCTTCAGGGTTTGGCTAGAGTCTCCCCTTGGGTAGCTGGGTCCTAATTGTGGGGAATCTGTCCTCCAGCTGCTCTACAGTCCCCTTTGTAGACCCTCCCAGGAAACCTACGGGTTCTTATGCAAATAACTTCTCAGCTTTCCTGAGAGACATATGTAGATTAGACCCCACAGTGACCCTACACAAGAAACCATATCCATAAATAATCCCAACTTTAAGACACACTGGGGTCAGTCAGCATACCATTTGATTAAGTAATGCATTGAAATGCAGTGGGAGGTCCCATCTCATGATTGGAATGTAAATCTGAGAGACACTGGCCAGGAATAAATAAGACACCTTTCTTGGTTGTATCATTATGAAAGTTGGTGGTTGGAAAGGAAATTATTTACTTGGGAATTCTCCACAGTGACATTAGGAGATCACTGGTATGTTGCTAATGACTTCTGTGCTCTTGTTTTATAGCTTAGTATCTGCTTAGTGCCCCAAATTTATATGATGTGACATGGCAGCAGGTTCGCCTGAAGTATTAGCACCCTCAGCAAGTAAGGCCAGGGCAAGTGAGACTGTGGCTGGGAGGGGACATTCTCCCTTGGGACCTTTTAGGGAGAAGCCCAGAATCACGGTCTCCCAGCTCAGTGGAAGTCAAGGTTCCAGCCCAAGCATTTCCTGACTGCATGCTCCTGAGGAATCAATCCTAGTTCCTCTTTCCACAGCGCCATTTTCACTGCTGGTGACCAGACTTC